ATTGAGGACCATCCTAATGCTTCCTAAGTGAAGTAACTTAAATTTCAAATGAGAAAAGGTGTGTTATGTGTATGTGGTACCGGGGATTGAACCCAGGGACTTTCAACTGAGCTACAATCCCAGTCCCTTTTTAATTTTTATTTTGAGAGAGTCTTGCTAAGTTGTTAAAATGCCCGAGCTGGGCTTGAACTTGTGATCCTCCTGTCTCAGACTTTCAGAGTGCTAGGATTTTAAAAAGTGTCATTTAAAGTCTGCAGAAGGGACAGTTTCTCTCTTGAATGGCATTAACAGTCTTTGTTAGGTATTTCCCTCCCAAATACCTAAGAAGGCACGGAAAAATCAAAACTGATAGCAGTAACAGAAACCAAGATGGCAGTAACTCAGTCATCAGAGAAATTTTACCATCTCCTATAAAACGCCCACAGAACTGGGTCTGGAATTGAGCAAGCAGTGGACCTCCTACAGAATGAAAGTTCTCTTCTACTCAAGCTGCCAAGGTCAGGAAGACAGGGCAAGATTGAAAAAATGTTACAGAATGAAGGAAAGTAGAGAGACGCGATGACAAAATTCAACCTGTATTCTTGGACTGGATCCCAGCCAGAGAAGACACTATAGAGACTGCGGACGGAAATCGGAGAGGTCTGTGGACTGAAAGACGGCAGCGTGTCAACGCTGAAGTCCTCACTTGAATGGCTACATTGTGGTTGTGTAGGAGTGGCCTTGATTAGGAGGAAATACCCACTGGAGTATTTAGGGGGACATTAAGTCTGCAATTTAAATACTTTAGAAAAAGAATAGGCGAGTAGGACACGACCGAGCATGCCCGTATTCCCAGCTACCCATGCGGTTGAGGGGGGAGCAAGCCCTTGTCTTGATAGGAAAATAAAAATAAAAATAAATAAGAGCCAAAAAAGGTGCAAATCTGGGGCTGGGGATTTAGCTCAGCGGCAAAAGCGCCTGCCTGGCAAGCGCAAGGTCGTGAATTCGGTTCCTGTGTACCGGAGAAAAACCAAAAAAAAAAAAAACAAAAAAGGTGCAAATCTTTTGGAAAAAAATAACGCAATAGTCATAAAGAGAAAGGAGTTGGAACAAACGTGAAAAAGTTAACAAGAATGAAGTAGCTTTTTGTTCTTACTGCAACTTTTTCTACAGCTTTTATTTCAAATTGAAATTTTTAAAAAATGTGTGTATATCCATCCTTTTTTCTGTCTAAACGGTATATGTAAATGAGTGTATAACTATGCTTACATGTTATCCAGAAGCTCATGCCCTAATTCAGACTCAACTCAGACTGAATCAGAATTTTGAGCGATGTTACCCTACTATGTGGATTTAAAAGAAAAACAAGGGGCTGGGGATTTAGCTTAGCGGCACAGCGCCTGCCTGGCAAGCGCAAAGTCGTGAGTTCGATTCCCGGTACTGGAAGAAACAAAACAAAAACAAAAACTCCCCGGTGATTCCAGAGCCCAGGCAAACGGAGCCAACCGACAGCAGCGCTGTCGTCGGGCGCGCGCTGCACTCGCCCGTGGGGCGGGTTATCCGCGGTTGCGGGCCTGGCCGCGCGGTGGGGGCGGCTTAGCAGCGGGGCGTGCACAGCGCGCGGGCTCAGGTGGTCG